CGACGGGCCGGCAGGCAGGGGACGTCGACCGAGCGGGGCCGGAGGTATCTGAGCAACGCCATGCCGGCAGCCCGGCCGCGAGCAGGGCATTCCCCCAGCCAATCTCGTGCTTGGGGCCCTTTTAAACTATCACTCCCATCAAGGACCGTGGCTTGGGCGTTACGCATCCGGGTCCGCACCACCGGCCTGACTACACTCGTGCTGAGAGGTGTCGCTCGGCTCCCCTCCTCCCCGCCCCGGTTCCCCCTCTCTCTCCTCCGATGCCTGGGATGAGGGGACGGAGGAGAGAGGAAGGGCGCGGAGCGAAGCACACAACTCCCATAAACAACCTTCAGCGCTTCCAGGAAGACTTTGGAGAAAGACAATGGAAAGAACGATACCTTCTATTTCTATCAAGGTTTGAACTCCGGCGTAAAGGCACTGTGTAAACCCAAGGTATTATTTATTACCACACTAGGTTTTCCTACATGCAAACTCAGGGAGTTTTGCGGACATTCTGTCCTGTTTCCCAGCCATCCTCAGGAGACAAGCTTAAGTGACAGGTAGCCTTATACACCATTTAAAAGGCAGACACTTTGAAGGATCAACAGCCTCGCATAGTTACTCTGACAGAAAGGGGTCCAGCGTTCTGCAGTTAGCCCGCTGCAGCAACATCTCACAAACAACAAAGATTTGTTACTATGGTACCACCCTCTTGCATTCCAGTTATTGGGAAATATTCTGTATTCAGATACCAGTTTTGTTCAGACTTTTTAGGTGTTCGGAACACTGATACCAAGAAGATCTTTACCAAAACTTTTATCAGGTCTAAAGGCTTTTTAAGTCTTTCAGGCTATATATATTTAAAAGTCTTTCACACTAGTACCACCAGTTGTGATCCCGTAGGCATCCAGCTCTCTGTAGGTATAGAAAAAAAACGGGCAGCAGCTTGTTTGTTTTGTTTCTAAGTAGGAAAGACTTTTTGCCATTGTCAGATTAAGTAGGAGCTGGGCCTTGTTGCTATTGGCAAAATAAGCGGCTTTATTTTCTTCCCACTCATCCCTATAACCCACGGGGTACTTGGAGGCAAAGAGAGAGAGAAGGAGGTCTCTAGCCGTAGCTCAACTTGGTCTTGCCCTTTATCTTAAGGTCCAGAGCCCCTTAACTAATTAATACTTAGCGAACTGAGTTGCTCACCTTCAGTAAACAAGTGCCTTCTGTGGGTTTAACTCAGGTGGGTATGCTGAGAGGAAACCTAAGAAGTCTCCAAGAACAATAATAATAATAATAATACTTATTTTGGACAGGACTGCAAGTAAAGGTTTGTCAGGTTTCAGCCAGCTCTTTTCCAGTTGAAAACCATTTGTTAACTAGTCTGCATTGGGAGAAATGATGTTTAAACAGACATACCCAATGGTTTCTCCATAGGCAGGCTTTGTTAATATTCCAAGGCAGATGTGCAGGGTCAGATAAGAGATAAGCAGATGGCCAGTGATTCCCCCACAATCACAATGGCTGTGGTTAGCAAGGGAATATCATAGGATTTACTGTTTTACCCTAAAAAAAAAAATTAAAAAAAATTTTTTCAAGGAGAATAGAGCTTGGGGGGAGTCCCTAAGAAGGCCGCTGGAATTGTGAATTATATGACTTCAACTGCAATGGCAGGGAGAGGGTGAGAGTGGTAGATGGGAAGAAGAAAAGAAAAATTCCTTCCGCACCCAGCCGGGCGTGGCTCAGCAGTTGAGCATCGACCTAGGATCCAGGCGATCGAGGTTTGATTCCTGGTCAGGCCACATGCCTGGGTTGTGGGCTTGATCAATGACTCTCTCATCATTGATGTTTCTCTCTCTCTCTCCCTCTCCTTTTCTCTCTCTGAAGTCAATAAAGATATATTTTTTAAAAGAAAAATTCCTTCCAGAATCATTGAGAAGAGGGTACCTGGCTGGAATAAACTGGTGCCTTTATAAGGGATTAACAAATCTCTGCCTTCATGAGCAAAGCTAAGACCCAACAAATGCTGAGAGTCAAAATCCACATCACCCACTTCTTTTG